ATTTCTGTATATATATATATATATATATATATATATATATATATAATATATATATATTTCTGTTTCCTCATTTTCAATTGTAGACATCATCTTGTGACTTCCTGCTGAGGTAGATGAGTATTTTTTATACTATTTCTCCAACCAGTTAGTTGCTCCTCTCCTTTTGGTCTGATATCACTTTGTTCATGGCTATAATAGAGCAAAGACACACACACCTCCTTCATGCAAAAAATAACTCGTTTCCATATCTGAGTCCTTAGGTGTTCTTTACACTCCTCAGAGCTATGTCTGTGCTGCCACACCTGAACCCAGTGTAGTACCTCGCTCATGATGAAAAGTGTCCTTTTTAAAAAGGTATTTCCATACTTGCTTTTTGACTGAATAAGTAAATGTTTTTCCATAATGAACGACTAAGAGGACTCTTATGGAACCAAAAACGTTAGTATTAACAAGGCTTCATTTTTAATTAAGAAGCCTGAAACTAACCGAACAGAACCAACCACACCAATGGAAGAAGTTGGGAGGAAGCTTAGTAAAAGGGAATCTTTCAGGCTCAATAACTAGAACATCAAATAGTTTTTCATATTTGGTCTCACGTGGGTCTCATGAACACTAAAGGTTCTTGAGAGTCTACCCAGATGCTAAGAGTGACAGCACTCTGTTCTACCAAAGACCCCACAGCCTGCCATGCTCAGTGCCTGCTCTAGTACAGGCAGCCAGCCAGCCAGCCAGCCAGCCAGCCAGCCACACTTCCTGGCTGCAGGCTTTGCCATTTACTCTGCAGAGTGAGAATTCACAAGCAGTTGCTCAGTACTCACCAGCATCTCCTGTCACATTGAACCTTGTACTCTATACTGGGAGAACACTCTTTACACGTTAATTTCTTGATTGTGAACAATGCAGTGAGGTATAAAGTGGGCTGTCTTTTCTTTTTTAGACATGAATACATGTATATTCCATTTCTGTTTTTATAGGCAATGGCGGCTGATAAAAGTGATGAGTGGTTTGCTAAACAAAATAAACCAAAGGCTTCAGTTTAATGGATGACATCATGTGGAACAAGCATCTGTGATTCCTGTCCAGCACCTCTGAGGCCTGATGTGTTTGTCCGTGATACTCTTAAATTTGGTTGTTTCCTGTATAAGCAAGGAGGCTTGGGTGGTGAAGATTTGTGTGTTTCAATCTTTGAAAGTTCTGGTATGCTTTAGAAATGAAATCCAATTATCATTCATCCAGGTAAAGAGAACCCTTGCTGTAATCTGCACGGTCACTGGAGTGGCACATTCTGTGTGTAACTGTATTAGATTACTTACTGTATTAGATTATCCCCAGACTGGGATAGCTGTATGCGATATTATAATGGTAATACTCCTAGCATCTGGTAATATGCTGTTCTAATATCTTACTCTGGTAGATGTTGACATTTAAAAATTTTTTTTTAAAAATTTATTTTGTTGGACCAACAGATTCAGTTAACACTCCCGTCTTACTTGCTTTTACATTTTGAGTAGCCAGAGAAAACATACAGGAAGGATTTAATGTGTGTGTTACTACATACCTAGCTCTTTGCTAGTTCCTTTAAATTTTTAAAATTCCTCACATTAAAGAAGATGATGTTAGATTTTAAAATGGATTAGATAATTTCAGCCTGAAAAAAAAAATGGGCTTTTTTTGGTGGCTGTCCAGTACATGGATCTGAACCTTTGACCCTGGTGTTATAATACTACACTCTAACCAACTGAGCTAACCGGCCAGCCCCAATATTTTTTTTTAATATTGTAGTTTTCTCTTTGGTTCTATAGAACAATCAGGTTTTAATAACTAGAAACAGAATTGTATTGGGTATATTCATTAGAGTATGCTTCCAAAATCAAGCTGTTAGACCAGTCTCTAAGTCTCATTATTTAAAGTGGTGGCCAGGTTCAAATTTTAGGAATAAACTGAGGAGATTGGAAAAGACTGACTCAAGGGATACTAGTTCCACAGTAACGTATATAAAATCACTTGTAAATCATAACCTTGGTTGTTCTCCCTTACTGGGAGGGTGGGCATAGAAATTTTGGAGGGATTTCCAAGTTACCTTCTTAAAGGGGCAATCTTACCTTCCCTGAGGAAAAAAAAATCCTTGTCTGGCTCCACACTTTTCATTCAACTTAAATTCCCTATCTTAGGGAATCAGTCATGAGTTTAAAAGCAAACCAAGTTATATATGTTCCTCCACTAGGTAACTGGTTCATTTTTTTTCTATACATGGGGAAATTATTATGTGAATATTGAATAATCAGATAAACTTCTGTGTTTAGACTATGATTTGTTAATTCTTAGATTTTCTATTAGATTATTAATTCTTGGTATTTATCTCTAGTAATGCTGTTCTTGTGAAAAGAAACTACTTTTCCCACTCTGCTATATTGTACCTTCTAAGTTTGTTATAGTAAAATAAGTGGTTTATGTAAGTACTGAGTGATTAAATAACACATACTGGTTTCTTTATTTGCTTATCTTGTGTTTTGACATACAAAAATGCTTTACTTTTAAATGTACGACTGTGCGTGATAGTGGGCACTTGCATGATAGAAATTAATACTGTTTATCCACCTGGGACATTTTGGCTTTATGAGATCAGCCCCCTTTTATTTCTCATTGCCTGTCATGTTTTCCTTTATTGCAGTCTTTAATATTTTATTCATCCTAAAGCTATTTAGTATACAACTTTAGCATTTTATTAAGGAATCCAAAAGTTTGTTTTTGCACAGTTCAGCTAGTAATTTTAAACCAAAAGTTATGATTACTTTCCTACTTCTATGGGGATGGTATGATCAATTTGAAAATGAGGTTATAAAAAAAGACACTTTTGCCCAGGCTAGTGTTTTAAAGAGATGAAATTGGAGTTGGTCCAGGGGTTGTGGGTTATTATTAAGCTGATTAACATTGTCTCCCCCCACTACCACACTTGACTAGCTTTGAAGAAAATAAGTAAATAAACAGATAGATGAAGTTGGAAACTTCTTAAGTTTCTCCAGAGTTGTGTTTTCAAAGTAGTCATTTTGCTTTGGAATTAAGGGGTTGTAGAGTCCTAGCATATTAAGTGAAAAGTTCAAATGTGCCTTGAGTTTAAATCCAGAGGGCTTTAGAATGACCATGTTGCAAGAGTTCTCCTAGGTTAGCCTGGAGAATTAACTGTATGAAATCCATGTCTGGCTGACATCTTGGTGGAATTAACAAAGCCATGAACATTCAGTGCTTCTTTATGTGACTTTCTGTTCACCTCACCTGTCGGTGCCATTGTAATTTAGCAGCCAGAGTTTTCAGGAGGTGTCCAGCTTGTCCACTGTGGCTTTAATGATTAATAAAGAAGAACCCTTGCTTCAGACCTCTTTATCTAAGGTAATAGTGTCACATGGTTCAAAAATCAAAACATTCTTAAAAGGTATACTTTAAAAGAATCTTGCTCCTGCCCATCCCCATTAGTCCCATTCCCCCTGCCTCTGTAGGTAACCACTTGAGTATTAAGCAAATATAAATATATATATTCTTATTTTCTCCTTTTCCCCAGAAAATTTAACACACTATACACTATATTTATTAGCCTTATTTATTTTATTTTTTAATCCACTCTACAGTTCCTTTCTGCAGTCCTAATTATGGCACATTTTTACTTCATGAGGTTCTATAATGATTTATAGACTGGTATGGCTATACCTAAACTGCCGCCTTTTGGGGCAAGATGTATTATTTTTACTATTAATTCACATTGAACATGAGTCATGGTCCTAAATGCATCAAAATGTGTTCATAATATCCTGCAAAGAGTGAATAGCACTGCTGTTTTACGGTGTAGCTCTTGCCCAATTTATAGTTCATTAGTCACTGTGGTATACAGTGTGTATACTTCATTCTTAAGTAATATACTTAGTCTATAGCACTTCCTGCAAATATGTGAACAGAAGATCTTGAAGATACCTGGTGAGATTTGGTTTCCTTTCTCCTCTGAAGTCTTTTTTATTTGGCAGCTGGCTACAGGGATCCAAACACTTGACCTTGGTGATATAACAATGCGCTCTAACCAATTGAGCTAACTTCATGGTTGTTGCTTCTGTTGTTTAATGGGCCTTCATGAACTGGAGCTGACCTGATGTCATGATCTGTGAAAATAGTTTTTAATTGAGGAAGAGTACTGGGAACTCCCATGCCATAGCTGACCTGTTTCTCTGAAATGTATTTAAGAATTCCATTTAGCACTCCGTATCCCAGCCACCAGGCACAATGGTTGTGCATTGATGCCTCTGTGATCATTAACGCTAAGGAGCAGAAACTGAGTTCAGGCACTTTGGCATTTGCGTAGGTTAAGGGTGTGTTGTGCTCATACAACAAATCCCACATATACATAATTGTCCCACAAACATCCCCAAGCAGAACCCAGCGCTAGCTATACAATAGTCCCAAGAAAATACTGGTTGCTAGGCCTTAGATGAGTCTTTCACAGGCTGAAAGATGGGATTCTGCTCCATTGTTTTTCAGCTGCGTTGTGATGCATCAGTTACTTCACCACATTGTCACTAAAAGTTAGGCTTCCCTTAAAACATTAACTTTATTGGGCCTATGTTCCAGCGGAGGTTTTTGGAAAACAGAGCCCCTTTCCCCTCCACAGTGTTGGGTTACTAGTGTTTCCGGACTCAGGTCCGGCTGCCCACCCCCTTGAGAAGGAAAGAAAAAAACTCAGAAGTCAGATGGTTGGTGTTAGAAAAAGCAGATGTATTCAGCTGAAGGAGATGGTAGGCTACCCCATCTCAAAGATTTACATTTACTGAGGGGTTTTTAAAGGAAGGGTTGAGGGAATGGAATGTGGGAGGTGAAAAGCAGGAGAGCTGGAAATGTGAGTTACAAGGGGTCTATTTCTATGGGTTGGATACAAGGTCTTGCCAAGGCCTCATCTGGTTTCTGTTCTCATCTTCACTGTTATCTCAGGACCCTGCAAGATTTTGATTTGCGCCAGTGTAATTGGCTAGTGCCCAAGGTCAGCTTCAGTCGTTTGGCCTTGATCATTTCTCAAAACTCTACAAGTCTCAAAGACAGAACTGTTAGCTTTGCAGAAGCTAATTAATTAGCTTCTCAGCCTTGTTTCCTACTTAGCGAGGGAGATAAGTCAGGGGTTGGGAAGCAAGAGTGGAGAGAAAAAAACTGTCCTTTTAAAAATCCTCCCCCCCTCCGCAGCCCAGGCAGCTTTAGGTCCCAACATGGCTTCAGTCCTGCTCGCTCCAACATTAGTGAGTCATCAATCCCTGAAGAGATAAGGAGCCAGGGCCTCAGGTGACTCACTGAGAATGGTCTCAATGACCTCAAATCTTGGGTATTTTCATAGCATGACTCTCCCCCCACCGCCTCTACTCCTGCCAAATATCTACATACACTCTAGGAACAAGAAGGCTGGGAATGCTGCTGAAAACCATACAAATAGCAAGTTTGATGGAATTTTACCTAGGGGAGAGATGCTTTTTATACATTTTAGACACCTCCCCAGGACTCTTACAGTCACTGAGTTTCTTTTCCAACAGCAGACAATCACTGTCATGCAGTTTAGGTGATTTATTGATGTCTCAGATAACCTTGCTACTAGTACAGGACATTTCAGCCATCAAAGTCTTTTAAGAAGCCCATTCCCTATCAGAGGAGCCATGCTACTTCCATCTGTCTGCCAGTGTGTCCTCAGCCAGCCTCTTTTTTCTTCAGCTCTTCCACTTTGGCAACATAGAGCTTCATGGCGTCCATCTTGGACATCCCTTTGTTCCCATTCCATGCGTCCCACTTGGCCTTGGATTTCACATCTGAGGCAGGTGGGACAGGGATGTTGCAGTCACCCTGGGTGGCCTGTTTGTAGAAACTGTACACCAGCAATTTCTCCTCATCGCTCACAGGACCCTTCAGCAGCTTTATAGCAGCACAGGCCAGCTCAAACTCCACTTGGCACATTGGGGTAGCTGAGGCCGGACCCCTCTGTACTCTCCAGGTGATAGCTGGCGCTAGAAGCTGGAGGGTGGAGAGTGAGAGACATGTGAGGCTGATGATTCTTAAGTCTAGGGAAGAAGGGAAATGGAAAAAAGGAGACAGAATAGTGTGTGGGAAGAACACGGGTGTGTGTGTGTTCTCAGTAAGAAGTCAAGTGTGTGTTTTTATAAAGTACAGATTGTAAACTAGGGGTTCGCTGGATTGGATCTGTCCCACAGATGTTTGAGCTCGAACTGTGCATTTTCTGGGGACGACTATATCAAAGTTTCAAAAGCGTCTGTGATCCCAGAAAATTAGAGGACTGCTTCTGTCCGAAGGAGGCTGCGTGGCTGTGGGCTGGGCGGAGTCCCGCTGCGGAGGAGGAAGCCCAGAGCGTGGCGTGGCTGTCTGTGCTGCTGGCTGCTGGCGGGCAGCCCGGGGAAGGCATTCAGTGTGGGGGTTACTGGGAGGGGGGGATGCGGGGCTAGGGACAGGATAGGACGACTGGGACCTCTTAATTTATCACAATTGATTTGTTTACATGTGGATCCAGACAAGTTCTGCTTGTTGCATTGGTTGCTATGTCAGGTGTCTCTAATGTTTCTTTTAATCTCTAGGTTCTCTCTTCATCTAATTTTCCCCCTTTACCTCATAAAGTTGCCCAAAGTCTGAATTTGCTGGCGCCATCCCAGTAGTGTCGTTTGACATGTTCCACCATCCCTGCATTTCCTGATGATTAGCTGCTGATTCTTGAGGCTTCATCTCATTCGGGTTAGATTTGGCTTCAGAGGTGCATGTTCTGACAGCAGGAGGCCCGTTGTGTCTCATCATCTCTATGACATTAGCAGACATTGGTGATCACTTATTAGATCCATTATTTCAATAGGGGGTTGCACAATACCATATTCTAATTATTTTATTCCCTCTTTATTTACTAGCTAGGATGCTTCAAAAGACAGAAATGTTTACTCAGCTATTTATGGTCGCCCTGAGGAAAAATTCATGTAGAAAGGACAGGATAGGCCAGCGTCGCCACCATGGAGCTAGGTGGGTGTCCCAGCTCCCTTGTCCCGGGCCGACCAGGTCGCGCCCCGCAACGCGCCACCTGGACGGTGCTGCATGACGCGCCCTCTCCCACTGCGCACGCTCGCGCCGGCCTGGGCTAACGGAATCGGGCCGGGGAGGGATTTTGGAGGTTCGGGGTGTCCTTGGAGACCGGGAGTTGGGAGCCCGGGCTTCAGCCGTGGCCCCTCCGCTCCTTGGCCCGCCTCTTGTCCCCTCTGGGCCTCTTTCTACGCGAGAAAACCGAGCGAATGTGAAGTTAGGTCTCCTGAAAGCGAACGGGTTAGTGCACGTGCTGTGGGAAATGCCGAGCTCGGAGGACGCTCGGGGGGATGCCGGATGCCCCGACGGTCTCATTCACTGAACATCTTTAAGTTCCTGAGCAGGCATCTTGTCCTCATCGGTAGAGCGGGATGACGACATGGCCTCCGCCTCACAGTTTGGAGCGGGTTTCAGTGAGACCGCGTGTATGCACTTGGGTACAGTGCCTTGCGCTGTAGCAGCATTTACCAAACTAGCAGCCGTGGGGAGGGGGTGCAGCATTTGAGATGGCACTTTCTGAACCTGTGTGCATCATGATTCAGAATCCACATAGGCGAGGTCTGGAAAAAGGGGGGAACTGGTCGACATCGATGGCCTCTTGCCAGGCCTCCCCATCCTGCTGGATATGCTCTTAAGGGGATAAGAGCAGGAGGCTGTTCTGGGAGAGCTGGGGGTGAGTAATAGTAGTCTGTGGAGAAATGTTCTGGTCCCTGTCCCCAACCAGGTTTTCATGGTGGAATGGCAGAGCTCCAATGTTTGGAGCCCTGCAGCTGTGGTGATTTGTCCCAGGCCCAGTGGTTGTGACACACTGAGCAGATTGTCTCTGAGCCTCAATGTCCGCCCCGCTTTTTTTTTTTGCGGGTGACCAGCATGGGGATCTGAACCCTTGGCCTTGGTATTATCAGCACCATTGTCTACCGATTGAGCTAATGGGGCAGCCTACAATGTTCCCGTCGCTAAAACAGGAATAATAGTTCTTAAAAGGTTGTTTTGAAGATTAAAAGGGATCTTATATGTGTATCATGTAGGACTGCCTGTCACGGAATAAGCACTTAAAAAAAAGAAGTGCGCACTCAAAAGCACTAGTTAACCATTAGTGATAAAGCACTTGGGTTTTTCCCAACTATTAACTGCCCCTGGGACTTATTATTTCAGGTAGCACATGTACATACTAATTGTGTTGGGAAGGCTGGTGAGGGAGGCCAAACATCAGCTCAGCTGAGCTGACAGTTAATAAAATTACATTTAGAGAGTCCACAGAACATATTTTGGGGCCCTGGGAGAGTAGCCCAGGCCAGAAAGAAGAGCAATAACCCCCTGAGAGACTCCCCTCAGCAACCTAACCCTCCGAGCCAAGATGGATTGTTTTCACAAATGGGCTGTGTAGGAGTGCTGATCCCTTGGCCTTTTGCTGCTCCTATAAATGGTCAAAGGAGCAGGATATTTAGTCTCCTGGAATCAGTATTTTCTCTTCAGCTCCTGGCCTGTGAAAATGGGGAAGATGTGCTCTTGGGGACATGAGGGACTAGAAGGGATAGCATCTCTTGGCCCTGGGAAAGGGGAGAGGTGTCAGGAATATTGAATAGTGAGCAGTTTGTATTCTGACTTTAGCTTCTGGGCCAAAGGAAACATACCTGATGAAGACCTATATGTCCTTTCATCTTTCTGAGCTGGGGGAGGCAAAAAATAGTGACAAGATTCTGATCCTGACAATGGAAAGATTTGGGGAAACCAACATTTATCAAGCACTTAATCAAGCTCTTTGTAACCTTTTTTTTTTCTTTGTAGACTGATGCTTATTGTAGCTGTATGTTATTTAACCCTTACAGCATCCCTAGGAGATTGGATCAGGAGGTTACTGCACCAAACCAGTGCCAAGGGCTTGATGAGTATATGAGAGGTCTTCAAAAAGTTCATGGAAAGATTTGTAGTATCTTTTTCTTTTTTTTTTGTGGCTGGCCAGTAGGGAGATCCAAGCCCTTGACTTTGGTGTTATCAGCACCACACTCTACTGATTGAGCCAACTGGCCAGTCCTGTATTATCTTTTAATTCCATTTTTCCATAAACCTTTTGAAGTACCCTCATTTAACATTTGATCCTCACAGTCATAATGTGAACTCTGTATTATCCTCACATATGCAGAAGGGAGGCTCAGAGAAATAATCTGACCAAGATCACACCATTTTTAAATGGCTGAGCTAGGATTTAAACCCGTATCTGAATAGCATCCCAGATACCTTCCTTAATAAGTCTGTGTCAATTCATGGCTCACTGAAGGAAGGACTTTCTTAATCTACTGCAGTGTTTTTTGTATCTACCCTCTGGTTTCTACCACAGAACCAGAGTCATGAGCAGCTTGTTTTTGACTGGAAGAAGCTGTGGAGTGAACTGTTTCCCTGAAAGGCAGAAGGATGTTTGAAACCTATTTGCAGGGCAAGGCTATTAAGAGAAAAGGGGGAAGGCAGGGCTTATCTAATTGCTTCAGTGCCCATTGTCCTGGGGCTGTGCCTTTCTTAGTCTGTATCATTACTGAGAAGCTCAGTTGTCATGTCCTATAATACATACTTGGTGGCCCCTGTGGTTTGTTATTGTCCTTGTGCTGTTTTTCTCTTTCTAAACCCTTCTCCCCACAACCTCGCTTGGCCCAACCTTTGCTGTGTCTAGCCTCAGCAGTCCAGCTTTTCCTTTTCACACATTTTTCGTGAAGGATCTCATTTACTTCCTTGGTTCCAGTGATCATACCTCCCAGCATCACACTTCAGGGCTTACTTTCCTTCTGAAATTCAACCCTGCATTTCCATTGCTGGAGGACATTACCTTAAGGTTTTGCCTCAGACTCCAAATAACCAAAGCTGAGCTCATCTTCCTTCAGAATTGTTCTGATTCTTCTCTGTTCCCTATTTCTAATGGTATGAGTTGTCCCTCCCAGTTCCCAGGCTAGAGAGCTTGGAGGTCATTTTTTAGTCTGCCAATAAATAAATAAAACCTTTATCATGTCTGACCCTGATAATGACAGCCAACCTCTAACTGCTGCCTCTCCCTCTAACCTCTGCTTAATATTTTGTAAAATTTTCACTACACTGTATCTTATTCGGCTTCTTTTTGTGCAGGACCCTTGAATATCTGTGAAGAAATGACTGTTCTGCATGGGGGCTTCTTGCTGGCCGAGCAGCTGTTCCACCCCAAAGCCTTGGCAGAATTGACGAAGTCTGACTGGGAACATGTTGGGCAGCCCATTGTGGAGGCCTTGAGGGAGATCTCCTCGGCCACAGCACATTCTCAGCCCTTTGCCTGGAAGAAGAAAGCTCTGATCATCATCTGGGCCAAGGTTCTTCAGCCCTACCCTGCTACCCCTTCTGACACAGAAACTCGATGGCAGGAAGATGTATTCTTCTCAGTGGGCAACATGATCCCTACCATCAATCACACAGTCCTTTTTGAGCTGCTCAAGTCCCTGGAAGCTTCTGGACTCTTTATCCAGCTCCTAATGGCCCTGCCAGCCACCATCTGCCGTGCAGAACTAGAGCGTTTTTTGGAGCACATGATGATTGACACTTCTTCCGAAGATGTGGCCTTCTTCCTCGATGTCTGGTGGGAAATGATGAAGCACAAAGACAATCAGCAGGACTCCCTGCTCTCCCAGTTTAGGACAATGGCCCATAAGTACTTGCCCTCTTCAGATGAGTTCTCCCATCCTCCGAAGAGGTTTAAGTCAGACCCAGGTGTGTGCCCTACCATGCCCCTGTTGGCCATGCTGCTTAATGGGCTGAAGCAAATCCAAAACAGGATCCTGTGCCTCAGAATGAAGTGCTTAGCATTAGCCAACTTGGCTGACATGCTGACTGTGTTTGCACTGATGGTGGATGACCCCCAGGAAGTGTCGGCAACTGTGTATTTGGACAAACTGGCCACAGTGATCTCTGTGTGGAATTCAGACACCCAGAACCCATACCACCAACAGGCGCTGGCAGAGAAGGTAAAGGAGGCAGAAAGGGATGTCAGCCTGACCTCACTGGCCAAACTCCCGAATGAGACCATCTTTGTCGGGTTTGAGTTCATGCACAGCCTGCTACAGGAATGGGGGCAGGAGCTGCAGGCCATGCTCAACAGCAGCCAGAGGACAAATTATGATAGCTACCGGCTGTGTGACAGTCTGACTTCCTTCAGCCAGAACTTAAAGCTCTACCTGGATACCACCAGCTTGTCCAAGGAGGAGAGGCAAAATATACCTTCTAGGCAGATGGACTGGATTCCTCCAAGAGAAGAGATACAAAGATGTTGATGTCAAGGGTGTCCTGGAGAAATGGCTCAGCCAGAGATTCTCAAAGTGAAGATCAGTCAATAAACCTCACAGACATATTCAGAACTTGCAGTTTGCTTTCTGGTTACATATTCTAACAGCCAAAGGGGAAAGTATGGAACATGAGAGACCAAGACAAACAGAGCAAAGTTACTTGGAAGGCACAGAGGGAGTCTTCGGGGAAAAGAAAATCTCAAAAAAGCTATCAATATCTTCTGAGGGCTAGGAGAAAATATGGTATAAATGAAGCAAGAACAGGATGTGCTAAAAAAAAAAAGGTTATTTAGAGAGTAAAGAAGAGCTCTTAGAAATTAAAAATATAGTCATAGAAGTGAAAGACTCCATAGGAGGATTGGAAGATAAAGTTGAAGAAATTTACTGAAAAGTAGGGATAAAATAGGACAAAAAAGATTAAGACTGGTCCATGAGGTTGGCTATCTAAATAAAAGGAGTTCCAGAAAGGGCGAATAGGAGAAAGAAAGGAAGGAAGGAAGGAAGAGAGAGAGAGAGAGATGGAAGGAAGGTTATTATCAAAGAAATAATTAAAAAACTTTCCTAGGACCCAATGCTGAGTTTTCAGATGGAATCGTCCTATCAAGTGCTCAAAATAGATCCAATTCAAAGTGCACTGTCATGTCATGGAATTTCAGAACATTGGGAATAAAGAAAAGAGCCCGCAAGTTTCCAGACAGAGACAGGTTTCACACAAAGATTAAACATCAGAATGAATTATATACCTTGACAGCAACGTTGGAGGCTACAACACGATAAAAAAGTGCCCTCCAAATTCACAGAAGACAATTTCCCAATAAACATGAGAAAAGTAGCTCAATATCAGTATTAGAAAAAACCGAAAAATTAAAACAGCAATGCTTATAAAAATGAAAAAAATAAAATAAATTGATAGACTTAGTGTTGGTAAAGATATAGAAAAACGCTTGGCTAAAGCTGTGGCTTCTGTGGCCCGCCTGGTAATACTGCATCCAGAAATCACAGTGAAGAAAATGTGCAGCATGGCTGTGATCAATCTTGGCACCCACAAGTTCCTGGCTCAGATCCTCACTGCCTTCCCTGCCCTTAGGTTCACGAAAGAGCAAGGTCCAAATTTATCTAGCACTTTTGTGGTATCATGCCTCAAAGAAACTGTCTGGACAAAGTTCTCTACACCAAAGGAAGAAAAGCAATTTTTAGAGCTTCTGAACTGCCTGATGAGTCCTGTGAAACCCCAAGGGATTCCAGTTGCTGCCCTTCTTGAGCCAGATGAGGTACTGAGGGAGTTTGTCCTGCCTTTCTTGATGCTGGATGTCAGAGAGGTAGACCTCAGTCTGAAGATCTTTCTCCAGACTCTAGAAGCAAATCTGTGCCTAGAGGAATACTGGCTCCAGACCTGTTCCCCGTTCCCTCTCATCTTCAGCTTATGCCAGCTCCTGGATGGCTTCAGCAAATACTGGCAGCTTCCAAAGGAGAAGCGGTGCCTCTCTTTGGATGGGAAAGATCTGGTGATCCATATCCTGGAGCTCCTCTGTGAGATCATATTAGCCAGTGCCAAGACCTTCTCCCCAGACACGTGGATCAAGTCCCTGTCCTGGCTCCACCGGAAGTTGGAGAAGTTAGACTGGACTGTGGGCCTGAGACTGAAGAGTTTCTTTGAGGGCCACTTCAAGTTTGAGGTGCCAACCACACTTTTTGAGATCTGTAAGCTTTCTGAGGATGAGTGGACCTCCCAGACCCACCCAGGGTATGGGCCAGGCACAGGGCTTCTTGCCTGGATGGAGTGCTGCTGCATCTCTAGCAGCGTCTCGGAGCAGATGCTCTCTCTCTTGGTGGTAGATGTGGGCAATCCCGAAGAGGTCAGATTGTTCAGCAAGGGCTTTCTGGTGGCCCTGGTACAAGTCATGCCTTGGTGCAGCCCCCAGGAATGGCATTACCTTCACCAGTTGACCAGGAGACTGTTGGAGAAACAGCTTCTCCATGTCCCTTATAGCCTGGAATATATTCAGTTTGTTCCCCTGCTCAACCTAAAGCCCTTTGCCCAGGATCTCCAACTCTCTGTACTTTTCCTGAGAGCTTTCCAGTTTCTCTGCAGCCAGAGCTGTCGTAATTGGCTGCCTATGGAAGGCTGGAGCCATGTGGTCAGGCTCCTCTGTAGCAGTCTGACCAACGTCCTGGACTCAGCTAGATTGTTACAGTCAGTTGGCCCTTGGGCCCAAGGACAAGAACATGACCTGACCCAGGAGACCCTGTTTGTTTATACCCAGGTGTTCTGTCATGTTTTGCACATCATGGCCATGCTGCCCCAAGAGGTCTGTGAGCCCCTCTATGTTTTGGCTTTGGAAATTCTCACCTGCTATGAAACTCTGAGCAAGACCAACCCTTCTATTAGCTCCTTGCTCCAGAAGGTAAATGAGCAACACTTCTTAAAGTCCATTGCTGAGAACATTAGCCCAGAGGAGCGGCGCCAAACTCTGCTGCAGAAGATCAGCAACTTCTGACCTTTGTAGGTCAGAAGAAAGCTGGGCCTCAACATGGGGGGTCTGAGGGGTTAGAGCTGAGAAGCACAAACTTTACAGTTATGTGAAATTGTAAACAAGATAACAAGTCTATGGCAATCACGGTGTAAAGAAAGTAGTTTCTTAGATATTTGTAACATACGAACTATAATAAAATTCTCTTTTGAGTCTCATCTTGTCTCTGAATCTTTCTCAGCAATAGCCTAGCATTGAATATGCTCTAAAATTCGGTTTAGAAAGTCTTAAGATCAGGTCACGTTGGGAGGAACATGTTCATAACTGGACTTCACCCTAGATGTTGGTGAATAAGCCCAAAGTTGAAACCACCCAAGTGGAAAAAAACTACACGGTATGTGTGTTCTTTTATATTAAGACCCTCTTCAAGAGTCATTTCAGTATTTTAGTATTTTTCATGGGGTATCTTCAGAAAGAGCGGCAACTTGGAAAAGAGGTCTATTCTAGCCCTGGCTCTGCCTCCAACTGGCCATGTGATCTTTGTGCCCAAGAGGCCTGCACTATTGTAAAATGAGAGGGTTGGACTAAGGAGAACTAAGTGTTGTATGCTGGGGGAAAGGAGGGGTAATATTAACGTTAAGAAAATGGGAGTCTTCTGAATTGAGGGCTGCTGTACAGTCTGAACTCCATTCAGTGGACCTAAAGGGACTAAGATAAAGCTAGGTCTGGTAAAGAGAGCAGAGATAGGTTTGAAGGATGGGTATAATTGTCTTCTCCCTGGGGTGGAGCTGTCATGATCTTGATGAATGAGTGGGAGCAGGGAATGATATGTGCAAAAGCATAAAGATGAGAATTTAAGGTGTCCAGGATATTACTACAGAACTGTGAGAACTGGTTAGGGAGATAAGGGAAGGAAAAGGATATGTCCCATCACCACCTTTATATCCATACCCTCATTCAAATATGAGGCAGCCTCAGGTTCCCTCCCCCACCTAAGGTAGACTCAGCTCTGTGACCAGCAATCAGGCTTCCATTCTCCCAACTCCTAATTGGTATTCACCTATGAAGAGAAGAAAGGCCCTAAAGTTACCATTGGGCTTGAACTCTGGGAAACTTCAATGTATTCTTGGGAGCGTGAACCGCAGAAATGTAAGGTATCAGCTAGGTCCTCCTGTAAGCTAAAAGCATCAGCACACACACACCCTTCTCCCAGTTACGTGGACCTAAACTTGGACCAAGAACTATAAAGCACATGGCAGCCAATCAAGCTGGGTCACAGGATGCTTCTCACAGGAAACCAGTATTGATGTATTTCACAAATGAGAACGAGTTGGGAAATATTAGTGCAATTTAATCACCATAGGGGTGACTTAAACAAAGATATACTGATAGTAAAAAAAAAAAAAAATACAGCATTTTACACTTTTTAAATGGCACCCATTAAAGACTGAAACAGTCAAAATTTGAGACATCATTCAGTCCTTTAAAAATTCATGGACAATGAATTAAAAGGCACTTTAAAATTTCTAGTTTTTCACTACCACTTGAAGACAATGTCATGATAGCACAGTCTCTCGAACCCACTTAGGTGATAAAGAATGATCAGTGTTGGCACCAGAGGATCCTATTTGCAAATGGGGGAGAAGGCGTCAGTCCACAGGACATACTTTGGCCAGGCTGCCCTCTTGCTCCCCAGCCTTCTATGGCTAAATGGCAGTACACTCACATAGGATGGGCTTTGGACCACAAGCTCTGGCTTATCAGGAGGCTCTGGGAAAAGTACTCCACAGTCTAGATGAGACATCAAGGTTTGGAGTATAGAAGTCCGTTTCCAATTCATACAAAAAGAACAGTGTCAAAGAGTGGGGCTACCCAGTAAATAGCTACCAAAGTCATCATTTCACTTTGCCCCTACTTTCATGAGAACATCCTATGTGTGTGGATATGGGGAAAGTTGGGCATGAGGGAACATGCTAAAAAAGGGATAGTATTTGCTTGCAACAAGCTCACAAGTTTGACACTGGTCTTTTTGCCAATTCAGTCTGCAAAGGTCGTGCTGATCTCTTTTGGCCATCCTACCAACTCAAGTGCTTCAGGTTCCCATCCCTGCCTCTTACCCCCTGCCATAGAGACTTCTGGTCAGAAGTCAGTAGACAGAATTCAAAGTTGACACATAGGTGAAAGGATAAGGCAAAGAACCAATGGGTTATCTAGTAACCTATAAAAAAACTACTTATCCACAATGATTTTCCCAGGCCAATGTTGCAAGAAGACATTATTTCAAGAACCAAGTCATTATTTGCTTCTGCTGACCCAGTACTGTGGATACTGTCCTGAGTGGTTGTAGAGATGGGTAGCCACCAATATCAGGGCCAGTGGGTGCCCAGACACTTATCACCCTGGTCCACCAATCTGCATGCTCCATGCTTCTACCTTCCAGACAAAGCTCTTGAGATAAGACCCAAAGAAGGATCCTTGGGTTTGCATTAAAACCACCTTGCTGCCAGTGGAGGTCTGACGGGATCCAATAGTTGTTATTAAGAAAAAAGTGCTTTTGCAAAAGGGGCAGGTTAGAACAGGGAGATAATATGAATATTCTTTAGAAAAACTCAAATCCATCTGCTTATCAATACCCAAAAGGCTGAGGCCACCCAGGGCACAATTTGGTCCGTGGAATACTGAGCAGAGGAGGCAGCGAATGTGAGGAGGCACCTTCACTGCCTGACTCCTGGAAGCTATTAACCACCCTTTTTAGCTTGGGGAGTATCAAAGAGCCGGGCTGCCTTCCTGCACAGCAGAGAGAACCAGTAGATCTGGGGAGCGATGAGGAAGGCATTGGCCACGTTGCAGTAGAAAGGGATATTAAATGGCACTTGGAGCAGGCTTAGTCCCTGCTGTTGGCCATAGGACCAGTACATGAAGGGGAAAAGAAGGATCCGACAGGAAAGAAAGGTGGCCAGTGTGAGGATTCCATTCACCTTGTACAGAAGGGAGTGCTGCTGCTTTAGCTGCAAAAGAAAGGGAAGGAAAATGTAAGGTCACTAAGAGGTTGGGGCATCAGGGAATGACTAGCCCAAATCCCACAAAAGTAAAGGCCAAGCAGGTACAGGTACTCATCAAGACCCGGGCTGTCAAATTTGTTGACCCCTGCAGTGAACTGAATGACCCCCCAAAGTCATTAAAGCTTAATCCCCATTTTAACTGTTGAGGGTAGGAAATCCTATTATGGTTGTAAGGTGGGGCCTTGAAGATGTGATTAGATTCTGATGACCATGCCCTAACCCTAATGAATGGATTAATAATGGTGGTCATGGGCATGCCTCTGAGGGCTTTAAAAGGAAAGCACGAGAGTCTCTCTCTGTCTCTCTCTCTGATCTGCCATTTTCTCTCAGGTGAGACTCCTGCATCGCTGTAAATCCCCACCAAAGAAGACCCTTACCAGATGTGTTCCCTGGACTTTGGACTTGCCAGCCTCCAAAACTGTAAGTGATAAATTTCCTTTTCTTATAAATCACCCAGTTCCAGTTATTTCTGATATAAGCAACAAAAATGGACTAATACAACCCCTAATTTTCTGACACTTGTAGAAAAGATTATTGAGCATTGTCACACTTATATATACATATAGCTTTGTAGTTTTTCCAATAGTGATGTTGGTTTTGGCCTAAGCCACCCAGCAGACAGGAGTTAAGGAACAGTAGATTAGAGAAAATCTGTGTGGCCAGGGGAAAAATATAATGAACTGTATCAAACTTGGATCAAACCTACAATTCCATCCCCACTGGCTCGGATGACCAACTTATCTTTACATCTATTGAAGGGTCTCCTATCCCACTGTTCCTAGCATTAAGGGATTTCTCCAAACACTGCAATCTCCAAAAGAAAAGCAGAGTCCATTCCCTTCTGCATTACTTTTGCCATTTCATTCATACATGCCTGAATCAGAATTCTGCCCAGTGACACAAATGGAGTACTCAGTTCTGCTGTGAAGATGCAGCCGATGAAGAAGTCCCCAAGGTCTCCCCGGAGCCTCTGCAGATGAAAAGAGGAAAAAGGGAAATAAGAAGTGGAGGTTAAGAAACCACCAGAAGGAAAATTCTAACTAGGACTATTAAAAGGGTAACCAGGAGAGACTATGAAGGAAAAGGGAAATGCTAAATAGGCAAGTGTAGACCCAGTTGATTTTCTGCTGCTTCCACAGCAATAGCACTTTGATAGTCAAATCCCTGGGATCCAGAGGCAAATTCAGACAGGCTGATTGCTTCACACCCTAGCTTCCTCTGTATAGCAATGATAGCCGGAAGGAACTCTGCAGTCTACTTTTATGTATCTAACTTAGTCATGCCAAGGGCACATTGTCTGTTCAGTTCAACAAAATATGTGTCAGGCCCTGTGCTACATGTTGTGGTCCCAAAGTAATTAAGAAAGATGTCTTAAAGAATTTAATGTACTCTACCTCTTTTTTCTTCTCAAGAAAGCAGTATAGCATAGGAGAATACCAGCTCTGTGCCTTAGTACCACTGAATGACATAAGTAAACACTTAGAGGCTCAGTTTCTTCATCTACCACATAGATAGATGGGCTAATAATTTCTAACATTTAGCAAGGTATGAGCTTTTTAATCAAGTGCCTGTCATCTGGTAGGCACTCAGGAATTACAAGTTTCTTCTCTGTATTTCCATTTCTCTTCCTTGTTGGATGTGTTTTTATGGGAAAATGAATCTGGGGAGAAATTATAAGGCTATTTGCTTTGAGAGTCTGTGTTTTTGTGACATCAGAATAATGCATATAGTACTCTCTGGCACTGTTAGAGAGCTGTTATGTTGTTTTGTACTGTATTTGTATTTTATATTGATTTTATATTGTATTGAACTAAAGACAAACTTTGACAAATGCTAAGGAATCACAGAGGGCTGGGAGACTGCTAAAAAGAATAATGTTGGGCCAACCCCGTGGCTCACTCGGGAGAGTGCAGTGCTGGGAGCGCTGAGGCCGCGGGTTCGGATCCTATATGGGGATGGCTGGTGCGCCCACTGGCTGAGCGCGGTGCGGGTGACACCAAGCCAAGGGTTGCGATCCCCTTACCGGTCACACACACACACACACAAAAAGGAATAATGTTGGTAAGGAGGATCACAAACATTTCAGATTTACTTTCCTCCACTATTTGCACGGGGGATTTAACTGCTGAAGCTGCTGGCACATGGAGAGTGGGTATGGTCCAAAAGGGAAGGAAAAGAGGGGCAATCCTGACTCCTAATTAATAGTAAAGACACCCAGT